CTCTTTGTCATTTTGTATACCTGTCTTCTGACCTTTGGTGTAGAGCTTAGATAGAGTTATTACCTTAGCACCAGGTCCGGATCTATGAAGTTCGGATTCCTCCAGGTAGGTGTTGTTTGGATCTGGCTGCTGTGTTCCACCTCTTTCTGTGTTTTTGGCAAGATGTTCTGCTCCTGAATCAGCTGGGTGGGTCTTGCCTCTAGCCTCTTTGCATGGAGTTCTGCTGAAGGGTTCCGTGCTGGGCCTGCAGCCTGGGTCGAATGAGGATCTGTGGGCCCGGGTCATCTCACTCACTTGCTGGCCTGTGCTCTGGGTCTGTTCAGGATCCCGCCAGGCCCCGGGTCATCTCCCTCACTCACCGGCCTGCGCTCTGGGTCTGTTCAGGATCCAGAAGGTCCTGGGTCGTCTCACTCACTCTCCGGGCCTGCGCTCTGGGTCTATTCAGGATCCTGCAGCCTCGGTCGTCTCTACGTGTTTATTATTTTTAATGCATTTAGTACAGGGTGTACAGGGTCTCACTACACAGATCAGACTCCTAGATGCTGGTCTTGCAGTAGCTTTAGCAGTTTTGGCTTTTGCCTCTTGCTTCTGCTGTTTCTCCTCCTCCTCCTCCTCTTCGGAGCTCTCCGAGCTGCTGATGGGGTCTGACACTCGGGTCTTCTTGGCTTGCAGCACTGCATCATCTTCTGCCTTCTGCTTCTGGCCAACTTCTGAGGTTTGTTGCCAGTGTGTATGGATGTCCAGAAGGGTGAAAGGCTGAGCCAGGAAACCCTTCTGGCTGCTCTGCTCCTTCACTTCCCACGCCACGTGCAGCCACTTCCTGGCCTCTGCCATGACTGCAACCCCCGGCCCACCAGCTCAACTGTTCTTTCATTATAGTTATGCCTTCTTGTTTTACCTCAGAGATTATTTCTGATCTGATTTCCACTTTATATTTCTGCAGTTGATTTTTTATTTCTGCTGCTATTAACTCAGATGTTTCTTTATTTATTTGAGAGGTTATTTCTGATCTGAGTTCCTCTATACCTTTCTACAGTTGTTTCTTTACTTCAGATGCTGTTAATTCAGCAGTTCCAGCTGTGTGATTCCCAATTTCTTATGTGCTAGTGTCTTCTGCATTTGTTCTGGATAGGCTTGGGGCCCGAGATCGCATTTTGCTCCTTCTCTTTGTCATTTTGTATAGCACTCTCCTCTGACCTTTGGTGTAGAGCTTTGGTGCAGTTATAACCTTAGCACCTACTGAAATTCTTACCCAAGGGAGATTATATTGTTAAGGCAGTTTTAGTTTTGTATTTACCAAATAACAATAAGGAACACTAATAATCTGAAATGATATTTAGCAGTTGACAAACTTTTGTAACTAATGGCTTTGTATTTTAAACAGTAAGAGCAATCATTATGTCTGTATAGCTAAGCCAATATTAAATTGGGAATTTTTATTTAAGTTAGTACCCCTATGTTCTGTCTGTTTACCTCCCCTTGATGTGCCTGGTGTTTTCCAGGCAGACTAGTTCACCCTGGTTACCTTTTGCCCCCTCTCTGAGTCAAGAGAGAAAGAGGGAGGATGCTTTTATAGATCTGGTTCTAGCAAAGTGTCTCAGCTTACTGGGTGCAGATCTATGAAGTTTGAATTCAGCTAGTTGTGCCTGGCTTGGGTCTGGCTGCTGTGCTCAGCTTCTTCCTGCTGTAGCCGGTGGAAGTGAACCTGCTGTGTCCCTCTGGCCAGAAGTTCTACTCCTGGATTATCTGGGTGGTTCTGGCCCTTAGCCTCTCTGCTGGGACTTCAGTTGCAGAGTTTCACACCAGGCCTGTATGCAGGGCCCAGACTGGGTCTGGGGGGTTCCAGAGATCAGGGCCAAAGGACTCACAGGCCAGGCTTGGGCTGGGTCTGGAGGCATCAGTGAGTGCAGGGGAGTGGGGATGCTCTCCCACACACCTGCTGGTCCTGGGTTTGGTCTGTGTCTGGAGGACTCCAAGAGTGCAGCAGAAGTTCCCACTCACACGCTGGTCCTGGGCTGGTTCTGGGTTCGGGGGTGGGAGGTGTCTGGAGAGCATGGCTGGCTGGAGGTCTCTCTTACAAGCTGGGCTTGGGCTGGGTCTGGAGGGATCCAATTGGTGCAGGGGAGCTTGGAAGCTCTCCCACACACTGGCTGACTGTTTTGGTAATTTCTTTTGATGTGCAAAAATATAATAAGAAGAGGTCCCAGTTGTTGATTCTTTGGAGTATCTCCTGTGCAGTTTAATTTTTTTTTTTTTTTTTTTTGCGGAACCGGGGATTGAACTCAGGCCCTTGCGCTTGCCAGAGAAGCACTTATTTCACTGAGCCATCTCCCCGGCCCCAAAGAGAAAGAGTCGGGACAGGGGTGCCAACCGGCAACCTCGCGCTCTGCAGCCCGGCTCTGAGACCGCTGCGCCAGGTCGCCGCCTTGCAGTTTGATTTTGATTATGTACTGTTTGCCTCCTCCCATGGTTTGAAGATTTCCACCTACTTTCTCTTCCAGGAGATTTAGTGTTTCCATTTTAATGTTTAGATCTTTAATGCATCTTTTTTTTCATAACCAGGGATTGAACTCAGGTCCTTGCACTAACCAGGCAAGTGCTTATTCTACTGAGCTATCTCCCTAGTCCTCTAATGCATCTTGACTTTAGTTTAGTGCATGGTCAAGTTTTAGTTTTCGGCATGTAGAGATCCAGTTTTTCCAGCACCATTTGTTAAAGAGGTTATCTTTCTTCCAGTAAGTACGTTTGCGTACCACCATTCTTAATCTCAGTATCATACATTCATAATACAGCCACCTGCTCAAAGCTCTACCTATGCATACATGAGGCTTTGTGGGGACAAGTAAATAAAAGCCACATAAATCTATGAGCCCAATTTGTTAGTGCCTTGCCCTCTGTGAAAACCACAGTAGAAATGAAGGCATTTTAGGAAAAATTCTCTCCAAGAAAATAGGTGGCACAGAAGCATAACAGAATCCAAATGATTTTAGTAAGCCTTGAATGTTGCTTACATCCAGGTTCTTGGAAGTATGTGAAAGCCTACAAATATTTATTTAGCTTTAATTTACATTATATTTATTTATTTAGTGATATATAATGACTATTTTCATTCTGGGTATCGTATATAAACTGTACATCACATATCTTAATTCTTTTTACATCTTTATTGCACTTAGCAGTATGGTCTCTAGTTGCATCCATTTACCTATAAAAGCCTTGAATTTATCCTTTTTTTTTTTTTTTTGGTGGAACCAGGGATTGAACTCAGGCCCTTGAGCTTGCCAGGCAAGCGCTTATTCTACTGAGCTATCTCCCCAGCCTATCCTTTTTTTATAGTCAAGTAATACTCCATTGTGTAAAACTACCACATTCTTTTTATCCATTCCTTAGTTAATGGGCATGTGGATTGTTGTCACTCATGAGACTTGAAATTTTGATTTTCTGAAGCTAGTAAGGAAGATGTGGATGTTTGGTTAATTCGTCCTATTGTTTTGCTTTATTATCCACTCACAAAGGTTTTGTGTTCCGTCCATCACTATTATCTTCATAATCTTCTGGTATAATTATAATCTTCTGGTATAATTATTTTTGTTCATCAGGAAAAAAAATCCTTTCACTAGAATAAATACTAATATCTTCATTAAATTGAAACTACCTACTGGCTATTGGATATTAGGGTTTTTTCCATTAAACATGCATATATACTAATCTTTTACATTTAATATCTGTTAAATGAGCCTAATAAAATCTTTTTTTTTTTTTTGGCAGAACTGGGGATTGAACTCTGGCTCTTGTGCTTGCCAGGCAAGCGCTTATTCTACTGAGCCATCCTCCTGGCCCCTAATAAAATCTTTGGTGATAATTTAGTAGCTGTTAAAATGACTCTAATAAATATGAGTGGCAATTAAAGGGAACTCACAGATAAATTTTTAAGTGACATTTTGAATATCATAGAAGATATGATTAAAATCTTTCAGTATGGAGTATGTATTATATAGCAATTTGTTCTGACTAGTTAGTTTGAGGACAGTGTAAGTTGTGTTTTCATTATTATTATCCTCTTTCTGAATATTTAGAATATTCATGTATTATAGCAGGTTACATTCTAAGGATATATAGGAATGCAAAGATATTCAGTATTTTAAATAGGAATCAAGGTAATTAAAACATACAGTGATAAAAAAATAATTAGCTGACTTGGTATACACCTGAAGAAGAATAGAGTTAGAAGTAAGATAGAATCAAACAGTGGCTCCTCGTCTTTTAATATGACAATGTATTGACATGTACTTAGTTTTTGAAATTCAGATGTCATGATCAAACAGGAGTGTGAATAATGATATTTTCATTATTTTTGTGGGGATAAAGTTTTTGGTTGTCATGGTATTTTATTCCAAGTTACTCTTGTAACTTCCTGTGTAAAAAAACAATTATTTTATTGCACTGTGCCAAAGCATTTAATAAGTCTTGGGTCAAAATGCTTTTGAATCTTTAACTAAAGAAAATATAAATGAGTGTTACCTTAAGGACATTGAGTATATACATAAGTCTTCTTTACAATTTGAAGATAATAATGAAAGCATTGAAGATAATCATGCATATAACATGTAAAACAGGCATCAAAGGATGATAGATATGGTATTTTCATTGCAATATTTTATTCTTATATTAAGAAAAATGGAAACTCCATGTATACATTTTTTTTCAGGAACTGCATTGCTTGCACAACTGAATTTCAATTCACTTAATGCATAATTCTGGAGGAAATAAAATATTTATTATATGTAGTTGAAATTAAAAAAAAATATTTGTTCCCTTTTTTGTGATACTGAAAATTGATCTCAGGAGCTCACACTTCCCAGACAGCCACTTTATCCTTGTATAGATCTAATCCATAGTTCCTTAAAGATATTCTTTATTTAACTTTTTATTTATCTGTTTTTTAAATGTGTTTGGTACAGGGTCTTACTACGCAGCTCAGACTTGTAGTGATCTTTATATCTCAGCCTCCCCAGAGTTGGGATTACAGAAGTGCACCATGCTGCCAGGTCTCAGTTGCTGTCTTGGTGTTCCCAGGGTGGAGTCAGAACAATGTATGGTACTGGAGATTGAACCCAGGTCCTTGTGCTTGTCTAGGCAGGCACTTAGTCCACTGAGCTATCTTGCTGGCCCTTAAAGATATTCTTGAATGAAAATAAAGGTACATGTAAATAATACTTAACAATTACATAAATATTTCAAAGGAATAATTCATATGCATTGATATTTTTAGAATATATTGGTTATGTATTGTCAATTACACACTGTACTAAATATTGTAGATTGTAGCATTAATCAACAAAATAATGCTCATATCAGAGAGATTACATTTTAGCACTTTACACAAATGACAAGTAATATTTAAAATTTTTAATCTTTGAGAGTGCACAAAGAAAAATCACATTAGATTTTATTGATTACTCACTTAAAAATTTTAATTTAGCTCATATAAATTCCAGTAAAGCAAGGTCCTCTTATTTCCTGTGGATTTTATTACTTTTTAATCTTTTCTATACTTTTTCTACTTTTTTATACTCTATGTTAGTATTCTGATGGAAAGCTTGGGTAATAAGGGCACAATAATGAAGTTGTTTTTGAAAAATGTAAATAAAAGTTTTCAGGGAAACTTTAATTACTTATTTAAAAGAGTAAACAAAATATGTAAGAGAAATACATTAAAATTTATCTAGATGGATGAAAGAGACTGTTGACCATCTTTTAGGTTCTTGTTTACATTATCAACACAGAAAGACCATATGGTAGCATAGTCTATGACTCTGAGCTGCATAGTGAGAGCCTGTACCAAATACATTAAAAACAGATAAATAAAATTTAAAGAATATCTTTAAGGAACTGTGGAATAGTTCTATACAAGGATAATCCCAATAAAGGACTATAATCCCTGTTTGGAATTTAGGAAAATATTTCAAGGTGGAGTACGGGTTTATTTAAAATGTTAAGACCTCTGAATTATGTTAAACATATATATTCCCATATGTGGACTGAACATATTGGAGATAAACCAAATTTCCTGAACTTCTATATATATTACAGCGTTGTCAAATTTTGGATACTCACAACAAGCATTAAATATTTTCCTTGGAATCTATGTAGTAGCTTTTGAATCTTTTCACAGCATTTTTCATCTCTTTGTTTCTCAGTGTATAAATCATTGGATTTAGGAGAGGAGTAAAAACAGTGTAAAACACAGCAAGAAATTTGTCCAACCAAATAATATTTAGTGGCCACACATAGATGAAGATACATGGAACAAAAAGAATCAATACAACTATGATGTGGGCGGTACAAGTGGACAGGGCCTTGGAGGCAGCATTGTTAGAAGTTTGGAGGACAGTGACAAGAATATATGTATAAGATATCAGCAACACAATAAAGCAAGTTACAGCCACAAGGCCACAGTCAATATTTATGATGGTGTCCAACTTATCAGAATCTGTACAGGCAAGCTTTGTTACTAAGGGTATATCACAGAAGAAGCTGTCTATTTCCCTGTAGCCACAGAAAGGCAGCTTCATAATCACAATCATTTGACTTATGCCATGCACAAAACCTATGTTCCAGGAAACGGCCACCAGCCCAATGCACTTTCGCAAATTCATGATTGTTGAGTAGTGGAGTGGCTTGCAGATGGCCACATAGCGGTCATAGGCCATTACCACCAGCAGTACCATCTCACCTGCTCCAGTGAAATGGGTAAAGAGAATCTGGGACATGCAACCTCCGAAGGAAATGGTCTTCTTTTCACTGATAAAGTCTGCAATCATCTTGGGAGTGGTGACTGTAGAAAGGCATATGTCCACAAAAGATAGATTGGCCAACAAGAAATACATGGGGGAATGCAGCAAGAGGTCAGTGACGATTAAGATTATGATGAAAATATTTCCAGACAGAATCATCAGATAAAAAATTAAAGATATCACAAATGATAAGACCTGAATATTCCATGACAGTCCAAGACCCAGAAGCACAAATTCTGACACTGCAGAGTGATTTCCTTCATCCATTTTATTCAGTGTGTCCTGCGAAGTAACCTAGACAGGATAGGATAGATTATTCTTAGGATCAATGGAAATTCTTAACTTGTACAATTTTGTATTTAACAAATATATCTGAAACTGAATAAAACTATTATAATTTTCTTTTATTTTGAAGAGTAAAAACAAGAGCAAGAAAAAGAAAAAAGACATAAACAGGGCAACATATAACAATACATATATTACAGATTTTCAAAACAAGAATAGTTGATTGACAATGAGTAATATAGTTTCTATTTTTTTAATTTTTTTTTACATTTATTTATTTGTGTGTGTGTGTGTGTGTGTGTGTGTGTGTGTGTGTGGTCAGCTCAGCCCACCAGGGGGCGGGGCTGGCTGGCATGTGGTGCTGGGGGATTGAACCACAGTCCCTGTGCTTTGTTTAGCTTAGCTTGTTCTAAGTAGGTGCTTTAGACCACTGAGCCATCTCACCAGCCCCTATAGTTTCTATTTTTATAGTCAAACTTGTTGCTCTGATTATCACATATAGTTATGAAGATGGGACATATGATTGAATATTGCCATATAATTTCAAGAAAGCCTAAATTTTTGTTTTTGTCTCTCATTTTCTTTTATTACGTTTCAAAAATTACTTTAAAGAGTGTATGGTAGTAATTAATATGACATTAGAAATGGTACACATTTAGAAGACCAAGATGAGAGGTATTTCAAGCATGGTTTTAATATTACACATTGCTGTTCTCCATGTACTTGCTTACTTCACAGATATCAACATCCAGTGTGAAAATTATAATTGCAATGAGAAATTTTAGCAAAACATTAATGGCTTTATGCCACCAAAAGAAACAAACTGATTGAGGTTAAATGCAGGTAACAAAGCATGCGATGCTACTGTTATGCAAATGATTTACTTCAAAAGTTCTCTCCTAAGAAGAGAATCAGGGAAGCAAAGCAGAAAGAAAGAAAAAAAAAAAAAAAAAAGGCAAAGAGATGATTGTAGTTTCACTGGGCAATTAGCTTTGTCTTCTAATGGAGGGAAAACATCTAAGTGTTGCACTAACAAAGACTATCCCATGTTAAGAGGCATAAGATGATGTAGTTGCACAAATGATGTTGAACTAGCACTGAATTTCAATACAAATAATGTGAAACAATGTTACAAGTCCTTTTGTCTGCATAACAATTCTTTCACACCTTTGTGGTACTTCTTCCATAAGACATCATAAGACCTTGGCATGATGATATCCACAAAAAATTCCATAGTATAATAGAATTTATTTAGAAAAGTAAATGGATTAGGAAAAATATCAATGTATAATCAGGTGGAAGTAGTTTCCCAAAAGTGAAGGACAATTTAGACTGAGATTCAAACTTGATGAACTCAGAGAATTCCATATAACTAAAATGTACCACTAGAAAATATTTATCTTCAGTATTATCAATGGATGCTCTGAAATTCCTAAGATCTAAACTATTTGAAAATAATTAAGATATGTTACATACATGTACCAATCCCCCAGTCAGTGTAATCATTATGTACCAAAACATGTATTGATAAAATTAAAAATAATTTATCTCTAAGTCACAAGAATTACACCTATTATCTATCTATATATTACTTATGAGAAGAAAATACATTTAACATGAAAGCAAATTTAATGTCGGAGCTGAGTGAGTGTGAAATTAATCTTCAGTGAACAGAATTGTTCACTTCTAAGTAAAATGAATAATTCTCTTCAAGGTGCTAATGTTAACACTGGGATTACAGTACTTGAATATATAGAGAAAGGATACAAATTGAATTGCTCCTTTAGGACTCTTAAAATACATCAACAAGGTTTTCGTTCCTTTGTCCTTTCTAATGTCCTTTCATTCCTAATGTCCTTTCTTAAAGGTTTGGGTGTTTTTCCTTGTAAAATACTGAACTCTGTTGAATTTTCTTGTATTTTAAAATTTATTTAAAAATTTTTTTTGGCCAGCTCTGTCAGCCCTGAGGGCATGGCTGGCATGGTGTGTGGTGCTTGGGATCCAACTGTGGTCCCCTGAGCCTGCCTGAGCTTGCCTAAGCAGGTGCTTTAGATCACTGAGCTATCTTGCCTCTGTAGAATTTTCAACACTTGTATTTTGCAAGCATATACTAGGGTGTAGAAAATGTAATAGATTGCCTTAGATATATACTGATGAGACACAGAGCCCCAGTGCAGCAGTTTGAGAGGCCTCCCTTTGTTCTATGGTTGTTAGTTTCAACCTTATTTTGGTAAAAGACAAACTCTAGACCCTTTCTCATTAAGTTTATAATTATTTTTATCTCTATCTCTATGCTAAAGCCTTTCTTACCTACTAATCACTCTTTGACATAGAAAGCTTTATCCTCATGAAAGAACAAACTATTTAAATAGTATCTGAAAGCTGCTCATATTGATTGCCAGGGAAAGAACTGTGATTTATGCACCTATGCTAACACTGAGGCTGTGCATTTTGATGGTGTGTACACTGTTATTAATATGACAGAAGTTCAAGTGGGAAAAAGATAGTCAAAGGAAACTTATGAACTGCCTTCTGAAAATATAGTGAAGGGCGTGCCAGCTCAGTGGACTAAAGCACCTGCTTAAGCAAAGTGCAGGGACCATGATTCCATCCCTGGCACTACATGCCATGCTGGCCCCACTCCTGGGGCACACCAAGACAGTGATTGAGACTGGGCATGGTAGCACATGCCTGTAATCCCAGTGCTTGGGAGGCTGAAAGCAGGAGGATCATTACAAGTCCAATCTGTGTAGTAAGACCCTGTAGGCTCTCTCTCTCTCTCTGTCTGTCTGTCTGTCTGTCTCTCTATCATCTATCTATCTATCTATGTATCTATCTATCTATGTATCTATCTATCTATCTATCTATCTATCATCTATCTATCTATCTATCTATCTATCTATCTATCTATCTATCTAAAGAAGCTGTTCTCAACATCAAATTTCATAAGCATTATTAAAATAGATATACAGAAATGCCTTTAAATTATCATAAATAAAAAAATCAGAGACATGAGATGACTTACTAAACATAATTTATAGTCTCATAGAAGATTGTTTTTTAGTCTTCTCTTCTGGTGTGTGCTTGAGGTGTCATGCATGTTAGGTGGAGACTGTATGGAAGAGCCTTTCCTTAGCTTGACATATATTCACTACCTGAAGCTGTCTCTTGGGTCAAATTTACCTCTTCTGCATTTGAAACAGTACAAGAATCATGGAAATAATGATCTTGGACATCTCTTGGGAATGACCTCATGTTTTTTAACATTTTATTTTAAAGAGGTAAGAAAACCCAAATTAAGTAACAAGAAAAAGACAAAAAGAAAGCACCATAAAATAATAAAAATTGTACAAATTTTCTAGACAAGAATAGGAAATTAAAAATGGTTGTATTATTACATATTGTTATCATCAAGTTTGTTGCTCAGATTACCACATATGGGGATTCCCTTGTTAAGAGTAATGAAAGTATTACAAACTTTGAAATCAATACAAAGAGAAGTAAAGCCTTATGCGAGTCTAGCATAGAAACAGTAGTTGTTAAAATTATGCATTTAGCTAATAAGTATTAAAAGATTCTTTTTTTTCCTTTTGGTGGAACTGGGGATTGAACTCAGACCCTTGTGCTTGCCAGGGAAGTGCTTATTCCATTGAGCCATCTCCCCGCCCTGTATTAAAAGATTCATATACAATATTTATCTACCTATCTATCTTTCTGCAATCAAATTAAAGTAAAGTGTTATTTCCAGTGACTAGAAAGTTCATACGTTCAATGATGTAATATGTGATCACAAACAGCAAAATGTGGTTTGGGCACAATGACCTAGTTGACTTCAAAGTTGCCTAAGGAGGCAGATCAAATGACTGGTATGTTTAAGAACCTGTGGTAAAAATGGGCACTGACAGTTATGAACTTCATGTCAAATTATTTATTTACTTTTAGTACATATTTGTATTATACAATGTTTATGTTCCTTCTGTGGATTTGACATATGCACACATCTTAATTTTTTTCATCCCAATTCCCTGCCTTGCCTCACTTTCCCCTCCATCTCTTGATTCTTTTCCAGTTTGAGAAAGATCTATCCCCCTACTTCCTATGATTTATCTTTATTTTGCTCTTTATATAGTATATGTAATTGTTTTACAAGAGAAAGCATGAGATGTTTCAGCTGTATGTCTGATTTATTAATCTTAAAATTATTGTCTTGAGGTGCATTTGGTTTCCTACAAGTGACTCAAAGGGGCTGGGGAGATGGCTCAGTAGAGTAAGCGCTTCTCTGGCAAGCGCAAGGGACTGAGTTCAATCCCCTCTTCCGCCAACAAAACAAAACAAAACAAAACAAAACAAAACAAAACAAAACAAAACAAAACAACAAAAAACAAAAAAAAACCCAAAATAAAAAACAAACAAACAAACAAACAAACAAAAAAAACCAAAACAGACTACAAGTGACTCAAGTTCATTTTTCTGTGTGGCAGAAAATACATTATGTGGAAATACTCCATTTTTTTTTAATTTTTATTTTTTTAATGAATCAATATATTTTTACAAGTGTTACAACATGCCCCCGAATCATCCTTTCTTAAAGATGTGTGCTCAATGAGTTGGCCAAACCATTGACCTGATGGAGCCTGTTACAGTTCTAGTGTAAAGTAGTGTTGATGGACTCAACACTGGCTCTTAAGGATGGTTAAGCCTGTGTTATAATATTCAAGCTGTGAAACAATAAGAATTAGCATGTCTTTGTATCTGGCAACTGATTTAAAGAACTGTGTCCGGGCGCCAGGTTGACAAAGGTTGGGTTGTGATGGCCGATCCCTGTGTCAACTGGAGTTCAGAAGCTGAGCTAAGTGACTCAGTAGTTCCACATCCTAGGGTGCATTTATTTTTTATTTTATTTTATTTTATTTTTTGTATTTTAGGGAAGGGTCTACAGGGTGTTCAGGGTCTCACTACTAGATCGGACTCTTAGTGATTCTCCT